ACCAGCTTGAGTAGTACCCCTTCGTTACCATTCAATGCTGTGATAGTTTGACTGACCATTACTCAATCATGTATCACTGTGCCCAAATTAACTTAATACTATGTTTTTCAAACAGACACTGTGTTTAATATTTTTTTAGTATAAAAAGGAAAGAACATTTTTTTTTATACATTCCCCACTCCTCTCCTTCCTCTGTTGTGGCATGAAGGGGAGGGATGACCCATGTTAAATGATACTACCCGGTATGTGATCGCTGTAAATAATCCTCACAGCAATCACAGTACTAAGCCACTCGGATGAGCTCAGTACACAATCTGTACAATCAATACTGTAAAATGTATCTGGCCCATTTACTGTATTCTACGACGCTGTTTCAGTCAATAAATAATTATTTTTTAAATGTATCTGCCCCTGCACACAATTCAGGAATCTACGAAACCCTGATACATTGAAGCTGATCATACACTATTCTTGATCAACCAGCCGTAAAATCGCACAGTGGGTGCTGCTGTCGGCACCCCTCGATCAACAGATTGTACGAGCCGGTTGGAAAAATCTTTGAACAAACAGAATGAGCTGCCTCCGACCGCTGTCGGAATACAATTGTGACAGCACGGGATTCCTCGATCAGTGCTTGTGAGCACTGATTGAGGAATTGGTTATGTTTTCTTCATTCAGCCCGCAGGCTGAACAATGTATGGCCAGCTTAATTGTATGATTCTTAGCAGGGAAAACAAATTTGCATACACGTACTGCTGCCACTGCTAGAAGATGTTAACAAATGTGAATTTTAATGTACATTTTATATTCTTCCACCATCACTCGGGCATTAAAATTATAACTAATATTTGGCAAAACTAAATACAAGAGCAGCAAAAATTAAGTCCCCTTTTATAATAACTTTTTTTTACAAATATAGTTTAATGAAGCAAAAAAGAAAAAAAAAAAAAGACCCAATACCTCATCTCCACTATCTGAGGTTTCAGAATCAGAAGATGCTGCTGGTTTGCTCACGGGTACTTCCTTCTCCTCTGAACTTCCTCTTTTACGCTTGGCCAGTGTAAGCAGCTCCTATATTATAGGATTAAAAAAACAATTTGTGAAGATTATGGAACAGTAAGCACAGCATGTATTCCTTCTTTTTTTACTATTTAATCAGCTCTTACATGATCTCTTCATTCCAGAAGGTGATTTTTACCTAGGTGACTACATGAACTTTTCTTTTTGCAACAGTTTAAGGCCTGGTTCACACCTGGGCGTTTTACAGCTCGTTCCTATGCGCTGTAAAACGCTCAACTTGCGAAAACCAATAATTGCCTATGGGCATGGTTCCCACCTGGGTGTTTTACAGCGCGTAGGAACGCGCTGTAAAACGCCCAAAGAAGTACAGGAGCTTCTTTGGGGCGTATTTGCCCGCGCGTATCCATTAGGATACAGCCGGATACCCCTCAGAAACATTTATTTTCCCGCAAATCGCGCATATTGCGTAGGTGTGACCCAGGTGTGAACCCAGCCTTATAGAGAATAAGTTGGCCATTACAAGATATTCTGAACTGGCAAGGGAAGCCAATAGGCAAAATAACTGCTGATGGCAAGAAGGATGAAATCATGACATGGCAAATACTATATCAACATTTATGTATATTTCTGTTCATAACGAATACATGTATGTATTGTATATACCAGGGGTTGACAATAAATGTAAAATAAAAAGCCCCTTGGTACCTAGTAAGTAAGCAGCCAATAAAAAGGAGGACCCAATGAAAACTACAAAAACTGGTTAATAAGTTAGGTCCTGGTTGTTTTCATAAGGTTCACCATAGAAAACCCATTTCTAGGATTTTAATAAACATTTTACAGTAATATGCAGAAACCATATTTAAATTTTTTTTTTTTCAAATTCCTCATTTCAAAAAGTTAAAAAAGGAGAGCAATATAGAACTAAATCAAATAGTAACATTCGAAACTGGGTAAGTAAAACACCAATAGTGCAGAAGAAAATATCAATTATTGTCTAGAAGTTGTCTCAAGCGCACACAAATAATTAAGAGACTATGGCTGATATAGACGAACTAACAATTCCTGCCAAGAGAACAATACCCGTTCAAATGGACGACATTTCACTAGGCCTCCCTAGTTACATATAGGATAAAACCAAGGTTTGTGTGCCGTATTGACATGTCAGAACTAGGGACTATAAATGTAGACGGAAAGAACAAAAAACAAAGAAGGGAAGGCAAAGAAAAGAGAATGGAAGAAGGGAAAAGGGTGAGGGAAATGAGAAAATCAATAAAAGGGAAGAAATATATATATATATATATAAAATAGAAACGAGTCATTAGACCCCTCTGTAGGAAATTATGAAATAGGGTCCTGTTGGTAGGAGAGATATTCAGAGGATAATGTGAATTCAATCCAGTAAAACAAGGTGTTCTTTTCGGAAGTATTTTTGAGGGTGTAAGTAGGGTCCTCGATGTCGTAGATATGATAGATAAAATCAAACCAATGTAGTATATAGGTGGTGGGGCAGGGTTTTTCCACAGGGCCGAAGTAAAGGCATATTTCAAAATGTTGTCTTTTAGTAAAGCATTTTTTAAACAGAATTGCGAATGTGCAAGAACTTTAGGTCCCATCCACACCCGTCAGCATCAGTGTATTGCAGTAATGCTTTAGTGTGCTGCCATTCAATTCACATGGCACCTCAATGCACCTGTGATGTAGCTTTCGGCAAGCTTTAAGAACCTTTGCTTAAACCTGTAAAGAACTCCTCAGTTCCAGTATTGGAGTGTTAAACATAGATCATAATGTGAGTGCTGTGACTTTAAACAAGTTGCTAACAGGTTTTCAACAAGATTTAAGTGGTACTGAAGCTTGGCCACAGCTTGTATATAGTGACTGTCAAGTGTTTTTAACATTCACAAACTGAAGCTGGTTTGCACTTTAAAGGCTTGAACAAAGTTTGCTGAAAGCTCGGTGAATTATTTGTAAGTTTTCTGTAAACACTGCTCCTATAAAAGCTGCAGCCTGTGTGAACAAGGCATAGCTAATCATTGGGAAACTAACAAAATGAAGCAGCACACAAAAGTAGTAAAGATTGGCAAGACCTCTAAAGATTTTTTAACAGGCTGAACAACCATTTACAAATTGATGTTTGCCCCCTAGATGCACCGCATTCACCCCTGAGAATGGGACCAATTGAATGAGTCTCATGTGATCTGCTGCAGGCGGGAGGCACCGTATGATACAATGATAGCTGCCACCTCCCAAAGTTGTGGATGACGCAGACTGTTGGCATCCAGGAGTGATCGTCCGCAGGTAAGCGCAGCATTTGTGATTACTTGCAAATGGTCTGCAAATAGCCGTGGCCGGTGGTAGCCATCATTCTATTGTACAGAGCCTACTGCAGCAGATTGCATGAGTCTCACTCACAAGTGTAAATGGGGCCTAAAAAGTCTAATCTACATCTAAAGCATTAAGGTGGCCATACACCTATCGATTTTCGTTTGGGAAATCGTCCATGAATGGTCTTTCGAATGATAATCGATCAGTTGATGGGACACCAATGACTATGTACTGTACTTCTGGATGAATCCCCTTGATCGGTCAGGCTGGAAAACTTTTTGGGAATCGTGCAGAAAAATTGATGAATTAGTGGCATTTTCGTCCGATTAAAAAAAAAAAAATCATTGAGAACACTGCACATGCGCAAACGAAAATCTCCATTCTGTCGGATCAACGATATTCTGTGAGTTAGTATTGCCAACGAACGATCATCGAAAACGGCATTGGTCGATGCATGATGGACTATTTGAGCTAGAATCGAAAGAGGGTTCTAGGCAACAACGGAAATTTGTGATAAATCTATAGGTGTATGGCCAGCTGTACATCAGATAGTCAGATCAAGGCAAGATACATTGTTTATGGCTTGAAGCTTGCCATACATGTTGCAATATGACCCAACAATTCCCTTTCAGATATACAACTACCTACTAGGGCCTACTTAGGCTATCAATTCAATAAATATTCTGCTAGGCCCTTGCACTATTAGTTGCTGGTAGAGCTAGAGAAGATTTTAACAGGTATGGTTATCTTAAGGGTTCATGTACACTCACTGGCCACTTTACTAGGTTCACCTTGCTAGTACCGGGTTGGAACACTTTCGTCTTCAGAACTGCTTTATTTCTTTGTGGCATTGATTCAACAGTTTCAATGAAGCAAACATTCCAGAGAGTTTGGTCCATACTGACATAATAGCATCACACAGTTGCTGCAGATTTGTCGGCTGCACATGCTTGATGAGAAGCTCCACCAGCCTGTAGCGTTGATACAAGACAGGATGGATCCATGCTTTCATGTTGTTTACATCAAATTCTGACCCGACAATCCAAATGTTGCAGCGGAAAAATCGAGACTCCTCAGACTAAGCAACGTTTTTCCAATCTTTTATTTTACAAATTTGGTAAGCCCTTGCAAACTGTAGCCTCAGTTTCCTGTTCTTAGCTGACAGAAGTGGCACTCGGTGTGGTCTTCTGTGGCTGTAACCCATCTGCTTCAAGGTTCAATGCTCTTCTGTATACCTCGGATGTAACAAGTGGTTAGTTGAGTTACTGTTGCCTTTCTATCAGCTTGAACCAGTCTGGCTAATTTTCCTCTGACCCCTGGCAAAGGTATTCTTGCCCAGACAGCTGCCACTCACTGGATATTTTCATTTTTTTCAGACCATTCTCTGTAATCCCGAGAGATGGTTGTGCATGAATATCCCAGTAGATCAGCCGTTGCTGAAATACTCAAACCAGCCCGTCTGGCACCAACAACCATCCCAATTTCAAAGTCACTTAAGAGAACTATGCGGTAAGTGTTTTTCCCCATTAGTTCTCTTAAGGGTCACAGGAGGACATTTACTAGCCTCTCCCCACGACCCAAAGCTCAGTATATCACGAGCTACCGCTTGCGGTATAATGAGACCACTGCAGCCGGGATTGGATCACGACAATGCTGTAGAGATCCACCCGGCTGCGTGAATGACAGCTGGCTCTGCCTGTGAAGAGGCAGAGATAGTTGTGCCCCCCCCTATCCGTTCCTCTAGTCGGCGCTGAAGGATCGGAGCAGGGAGGGGGGATCGCTGCAGGGAGCCGTGACTGACAGTCACCTCTCTCTGCAGGGAGATGGGGAAGTGAGCGAGCGATGGTATGTGTTCTCTCACTTGCCGATCTATTGAGCCGACCTGTGACAGTTTCATTGTCACACGTCGGCTCCAACTATGAGGATGAGTGAGGCCAGCCCTCATTTTAACTGATTGGGTCGGGAGGGGAGTATTTCACTGACAGTTTTGCGCAGGCTTGGATGAACTTGGATCGCACCAGACCACGTACTTCGCTACTGGTGACTAGCCCTTTGGGGCTTTACAACTTCCTCTCAAGCCCTCCTTCTGAAATGATAGAAGCGCATACATTTTCCGTACATTTCCCAACTGCAAAACTGCAATACATTCAAAGCAAAAGGAGGAGTACTGTTACAAATCTTAACTGATGTGTTAAACCCAAGAACAGAAATCCTATGTTATCAACTTCCCCCAGCTATATTCTGTGAACTACAGAACACCTCCTACCTATGTAATAGAGATGAGGAGCGGAGGAATTGTTTGTAGTCCACATTAGAAGAGTACCCTAAGGTGACACTGCTGCTCCTTCATACATCCAGTAAGGGAGTATTGTCACTCTAGGAAAGGAAGTGTTACTGGCAGGATGACCAGGTGATAAGGCTAGAAAAGCACGAAAAATAGAAAACTAAGGTAGCACATCTAAGAACTGATGAGCTGCAATATATAACATTTTTGGCTTTGGGTCACTCTAAGGCCTCATTCCAGATAGCAAGGATAACTTGACACAAACTTGTGGCAGGGTTAAATTGTAATTCTTGTTAACTTGCTGCACACATTCCTGGCAAGTTGGAGACTTGCAGAACACTAGCAGCACAAGTTCTAGTTGACACTTTTTGAATTTGTAGCAAATATTACTCGGCCAGTCTACAGCAAGATTCCTGCAGGTCTTAGCAAGAGCTCTGCAAGTGTA